CCGGCCTTGCCACAAGTCAGAATGAACTTGATGGTCCTGGTCTTCGGTTCATGGCTTCATTGTTAAACCACGTCCCACTCAGTGGCTTGCTGTGTGACATGGATGAGACGCTGCGTTGGCACAGAGGGACCGGTGGCCACTGAGGGGGTTCTGACTCAGGGTGGCCCCCTGGGTGTCAGAGTCGAATTGTGCCCCATAGGGTCTGCAGTGGATGGTTTTCTGGAAGTGGATCACTAGATCTTTCTTCCAAGATGCCTTTGGCTGGACTTGAACCTCCAACCATTCAGGAGCAGCCCAGCGCATTCGCCACTGGCATCATCCAAAGACTGGCCGTTGGCTGTCAGCTTTCATTATTGTTATGATTATTACTGCCATTTTGCAGATTCAAAATCTGGGGAAAGGAAAGCAGATGGCCCCCACTCTGAGGACTTTACCCAGGGTCATTCGAGCTTAGGGCCCAGAATCCTGACCAACTGCCTTGCCCCACACGAGCTCTGAAGAACCGGCCAGAAGCTCCCAGAGCGGTGTCTCCGAAGCCCTTCCTGCTGCCTCTGGAAGGACCCAAGCCCCACGTCCCCAGCTGGAGGCCGCCCAGCGAGAAGCTCACCATGCTGACAGAGTGAGTGACCCAGGAAGGGCCGGAGAGGGGCTGGAGCCACGTTTCCGAGTGTGGTTCCGGTCAGGGCTCCCTGGGAGAGCTGGCCACCAAGTGCACACCCCACTCTTCCTGGCTCCCCCAGCCTGGCTGCTCTGAGAGGCTGGCAGATCTCTAATTGAAGCCGCTGCTTGTGACGGACCCGTGCCCCTCTGCTTTCTCCACAGCAACATGAAGGTCTGGCACGGCCTGCTGTTCGCAGCTGTGTCTGTCTTCCTGCAGACCTGCCTCCTCATGGCCCTCAATTGGCTGCTCAGCAGGCGCAGAGGTAAGTGGCTCGGTGCCCCTCTCCCAGTCACCCTCACCCGCCATCCCTGAGCCTGCCGCAAAACGAGTCCCCAGCAATCCCTTGAAAACCTCCCTGAGGACCCACTGTCCAGGCCCTCCTTCCACAGACCTCCCCTCTCTGGCCTAACTGTTCCCCCACGCTCTTTCCGGTTGGCAGTAACTGCCCACGTCCTCCCACACCCAGGCCTCTTGCCTAGAACCAAGCCTCTCCTGGGGTGCCTGTGCAGAAGGCTTGGTGCGGCCTGGGCCTAATGAAGCTGCTCCCTCACCACCCAGGGATGGAGCAGGCAGGGCGGCCTTGAATGACAACAGGAGGAGGTACAGTGAGGCCGAAAGATGAAGTGGGATTCTAGCACCGACCTATAACTAAGGCAGACAAGCTCTGTCCTGGAGAGCCGCTGTCACTGGGGAAAATAAGATACAGTTGCTTTGAGGATTGCCTTGATCTGAGACAGGGGGTTGGGGAGGCTGTATTTGAAGGATGGCTCCCGCATGTGACGTCTGGTCTCCTCCGTTCATTCACTCGTGCCACAGGTAGTTGTTTAGCACCGAAGGCGCCCGGTAGACCGCGGCGATGTAGCAGGGACCAAAACGAAACCTCCTGTCCTCCGGGGAGACAGGAGCAACGCACACAGAATCCGTAAACCACGCAGTGTGTGCGACACCGCAGAGGAGAAATGAAACGAGGAAGAGTGTGATGAATTGAGAGGGGTAGTAGATGTGTCCGCTGGGAGAAAGATGAGGGGTCTGCTCCCATCGAGAGTGGCAGCCTCCGGCACCCACGGGGGCAGGCCTGCTCCGTGCTCTCAGGCTGCTCTGAGCAGGAATGGACGCGCTGGCAGGGCGTTTGGAGCACCTTATGGTCGTCAACCAGCAGGAAGTGAGGAGGTGAGAGGCTCAGAAGACCCTAGCACAGGTGGAGTCTCTGAGGTGCTGAGGGGCGGGCCAGGAGGAGCAGGCAGGCCAGAGAGAGGGGAGGGGTGAGGTCCAGGGGGCTTTGGAGTCAAACAAGGGCAGGAGCTGCTCTTGGAAGGGACGGTCCCCTGAGAGCAGTGCTCAGAAGGCACTTCGTTCAAGAGAGGGAGAAAGAACTGGCCTAACCTGACCAACTCTCACTTTTGACCCCTGCCTTCTTC